TGGTAAATAAGGATAAGTTAAACGTTAAGCGGTAAATGTTATAATAATAACAACGGATGAATGAGTGATCGGTGAAAGGAGTGTATAGTGAATAGCGATGAAGTTCAAGTTAATGACCTAGGCTTACGTTTTGGAGCACGTTGAATGAAACTCAGATTGGTATCGGCTTTGGAACGTTCTCTATTGTGTTGTTAATACCATACGAGGGCTCCTGAGACCTCCTGTGTTGCGCCGTGGTATGTAAACATCGACGAAGACAGTTTTGCAATATTATTAGCAATATGCTGGGAGCACGTGGGAAAATGGTCTTCATGCGGGAGGAATATATTTCAAAATGCTGTTTAAAATAATAATTGTTAGTATATGAGTCACAGAGTAATTATTAGAATTTATTAGAAATTATTAGAATTTATTAGAAATTATTAGAAATTATTAAAGATTAATAGAAATTTTTAGTTCCTAACAGGACCCAAGTTCATAAAAAATTTTCAACCGAATGAAAAAATTAAATTTTTTCATTAAAAACGTTACCAGTATATTATTCTCATCACAGAGACATGATTTTTTTCCATAAAGATAATCTAATCAACGTAGTTATTAATTTTCTAATTTTATAAAATAACTGTGATATTTTAAGATCCACGAAGAAAAAATTTTTTAGAACGTATCATTCTTTCGAAATAAACGATTTCGCTATCGATAATTTTATTACATAAATGCTAAGAAGCAAATTAAGTAATATGTACACCGTTAGAACTTTGTAACTGTCGCGTGTAACGTACGTTAAAATGGCGGAAATTGGTATAAAATATATGATGGAGTACCAAAAGGAATTTGAAATTTACCGCGATTGAATTTCCGCGCCAAAAATCGCGCTACGCTTCGATTGTCAATGTCAATGATACAAGGGAAATTTATGATCGCCTGGGACTAGCATTGTGTACTAAAAATAAAAAAAGAATATAAATATTACATAAGGTCGCGGCGCGATTACGAAGCTCCAAATCTAAACTTTTTTCCGCGCGGATTCTTCAATAGCCACTGTTAAGAATTATTGACACGATTGCATACTCAATTCGCTTCGTTCGAGTCACTCAAGGTGCGAAACAATCCTTCACTTACCGTTTACTATGCAAAAAGTCATCGTACCGCATGCAGCACTTTTACTTTTCAATCACCGTTTATCGACATTTTATATTCATTTCTTCGAAGTGATACCCGAATATTGAAATATTCTGCCAATCGAATCTTGTTCACTACCAAAGATATACTCGACAAACAAACAATAGATCGTTTCCACGAATTTCAACTCGATACGTTACATTTCTCTGTGATAAAAAGAACGTTCGAACCGCGAAAACGCAATTGTGCAACGATATTTGAAAACTTCGATATGTACGAAACGGATCGTCAGTTTTATTGCAAATTGTCACGTCACCGACGACCAATTGGAACATTTCCCTCCAAAACCGCGGAACGCGCGAACTACCATTAAGGAGGGTTTTCACACCCTCCTACTTTTCCAATAGCGATCGTAACGCAACCTCTTGACCAATGACCTATCTATTGTGTCTATCTATCATGACTGAATCTCTACGCGGCATATACACAGTGTACGAGAGAAAGCACCGCTGTTATCGAGTAATCGACTGGTCCACGTGTTTCTCGACTAGCATGGCACCTGCTGTAGAAACGAACCTACCTCTCGATTCGCGATCGCTGTCCCAAGGATCGATATCGGTTGTTCGGAACCGCAGAGTCTCCTCTGACACTTCTCGACGTCACACCGTGATACTTCAACGGGGAATTCGAAGGTTGTACAGGGAGAACCGTAGACGAAACGCGCGTGGAGAAGAACGAAGCGGCGGATCGTGTGTCGAGGACGACGACGAAGAAAGAAGTGAACTGAAAACACGCGACACGAGCCGCTAGCACGCACCGACTGAACGTGAACGCGAACAGACCTCTGGTATCGGCCACGGGCAGCGATCTCCCTAACAACATCATCCCCACCACTGTTACCCACGGTGCTGCGAGCTATTCAGATGAATTTTTATCTAGACCGTTATTCGAATAGAATTGTGTCCGTGTATACGAGATTCAGTATTTGCATCGAATGCTGTTTCGTACGGATCGATCAATTTTATTCATGGCAATGCTTTTAAATAAATTCCACTCGATGAAATGGTTTCAACGAATAAATGGTCTTTTAAAGGTAATGTACATGAAATATGAGTAACACAAAGTATCGTTGTCTGCATTAATAGGTAATTATGATTTTCTGATTTTTTAACAGTTGGAGAACCTGATTTTCATTGGAAATGGAATACAAATGAGGGGTGAGCATATTGTATTTTATTTAGCATATATTGTAGTAAAATGCTATAGTCAGATATATTAACTAAAAATATTTTCAGCAAGTATCGAAAATATTAAAGGACGTATTGTCGAGCAGAGACACCTGTAACGTTTGGCTTCCCTATATGTCATGTTATCACCATGCAACAGAATACAATCCTTGTTCTGCACATGATAAACGTATAGTAATCACTTGTTCTTTATCCGGGAACATCATGCAACAGGTGTATGGTTAAAAACCCTGTAACAATGATTACAATAGGTATTAACTTAGAGATATATAATGTTAAACAACTTCACACTACAGATATGGAAAACAGTAGTAAAAGTATATTTTTATAATATAGTTATCAAAATTATTTCTTATTTAGTTGGATTTAAAAGATAAAGATTAATACTATATCGTAAAAGACAGGAAATAAAACGAGGACTTGAGATTTATGAACTATGATATAATTAATATAATTAATGTTAAAAATTATTAAATATTAACAAATGTTTACAGAACACTACTACAGAACACTAATATTGTAAGATATTTTATTGAACAAAATATTTAATAGGTCACGAAAATTGAGCAAAGGTACATTCGTAAAATATTCTTCTCCATATAGTGGTCTTGTTGATATGTTATGATGGAGCACTCTACTAGAAGTGTCACGAAGTAGAGATGCTCAGACCAATAGAGACCTTATCATTTCAAGCCATATACCTGAAATTAATGGTTGATGGTTAGAATAGTGCTATACTTTTAATTTTTTCTGATACTAAATTTCTAATTTTTATACTTTACATATCCTTTATATTCCATATTCAACATTCAATTTCATTTTTGAATTCCTTTTTTTTTTTTAATTTTATACTTTATTTAAAACATACATTAATTCTGTTATTACAGTTCTTTATTATAGTACGTTAAAAATTATTATACTTTGTTGGTATACACATAAATTTACATTTTATCTTTATTCTTTCAAAAAATTTATTCAGTTATAACAGTTATGCACATAGCTAAATTTAAAAATTGTTAAAGTATTGGTAATGAATTGCTTTGTAAATAATTTCAATATTATGAACAAAATTTTCCTAACATTATACTTTAAATAATTTTATTCTTTATCGTTTTGCAATTTGCAGACAATACATATTATGTATTCGAATCCATACTTATCACAAACTAAGATAATCTATTATATTTTATGGATTTTTCAATAAAGTTATTAATATTAAAGTTAAACTTTCCTAAATGAATTTAAATCAATTAGGAATAATAATGATTAGTAAGCTTTCTATTAACAACTATAAGAAAACGAAGATCACCAGTAACTGTCATGACGGTAAACGTGTTAAATAAATTTTTATTAATAATTACATTGATAATAGTCTTACCAGTTTTCAGATAAAAATATTCTAAAATAATTTACAAATAAATTTTAAGTAAATAAAAGATATTTTAATATTCAAGATTACTTTAGTGTAATAAATAATTATGAATAATATTAATAATAAATTTTATTTTAAATAATATAGAATAGTAGAACATGGGTGAAGTGGACAATGATCAATAACTAATTTATGATACTAGCTAACAACTATCATACACCTCATTACATTTCAGATCAATAGTACTTAAAATTTTGATCTCTTCCATACGAAGTCAAATTGATAAATGAGTTTCTTCAATGATCTCGCAGCCTTTATATAGGCAACGACTGCTTGCCGAAGATTGGCCGAAAAGTCACGATCTTTACCGATTCTATCAATAATAAGTAACAATTATTTTTCTACTATAATAACCAATAGTTTATTATTTTTTTCGCTTCTATTATGAACTTGTATTCAAAAATATTTGTTATAAACAAATATAATTTACTTTCAACTATAAATTTAGTAATTTATAAATTTTTTGCGATTTATGAGTATACTTACACTCTTATAATACATTTCGTGATAAGTGCATTACAATATTCTTAGTATGCTTTGAAGATGAGAATATACATAAAAAAAGGTATTTAATCATTAAGAATCATTTAGTCATCATCAAAAATTATATATAAAATTTAAACTATAAAATTAATAGTATAAATATGCAGAATTTAAAAATTACAGAATTTTATTATGCGTATTGGAATATTCTATAACATTCTTTAATTGTTTGTTACTTTATTCATTTTTCTTTTAATTATAACATATGTGTATTCGTCGATTTATACATTCTCTACCTTACCATCCGTCACATATACTTGTGCACACTTCTCTATTTTATCTGCATAAGATCGAGCTTAATCAATTACATTTTGTTATAACCTATATGTTGCTAGCACGTGCAGACTTTTTACTTTTAATTTCAGCACAAGCAGATCCGAAACGATATATGACTGATTTTATTCTTTAAATGTTGTAACGAGCATAGTGACGATTATTTAATTTCTTGTATACGGTATTTTTTTAAAACTTATTTCATAGATTAAACAAGTGTTTTAGTAATTTTGAAAATACATTTTATTAAAATAAGTAAAATAAATAAGTAAAATTAGTATATTTTTGTACAGAATATTTTGCACTATTTACGATTATCTACAATTTATAAACATATAAAATTACAGATGTTGGTATTTATTTCTTAATTCAGTAAAATATTTTTATGGAACAACATTCCACTGACACTTTAATTCTGGTTCTGCAATCTGTAACGTAAAATATACAAAAATTATTGTTTACATTATAAATTTTAAATTAATTAAAAAATTAATTATAAAAATACAGTACTTAATATTTTATTAAATAAATACTGTTCTACCAAACATTTAATTTACCTTCGATGTAAGCTCATCAACGCATGCTAATCGAATACGGGCTGCAGTTGCAGGTGCATTTAATTGGAAGTAACCTTTCAAACCATATTCTTCACGAGCAGATTTAATAGCTTCTCTTATTGCAAAAAACACGGAAGATGCGAGAAACAATGGCGGTTCTCCTACAGCCTAATATGATAAAAAAAATAATAAATAATTTTTTTTTAAACAATTTTCTAATCCTTTTTTTGATTGAATTTATATTACCTTAGATGAATAAACAGCTCTAGGATTTGAGGCTCCTTTCAATAAAGAAACATTAAATATTTCAGGAATATCTGTAAAGCCAGGTAATTTATATGCACCTGGACCTCGGCTAGCAATAGCTCCATTTCTCAAATAAATCATTTCTTCTAATGTGAATAGACCATATCCTTGAATAAAAGCTCCTTCAATTTGTCCTATGTCAATTGCTGGATTTAAACTTTGACCTAAATCCATTACAATATCAGCTTGCAACACCTATATGTAAATATTAATACTAAAATATCAATGTTTGATAAATATAACTAAATATGTATAAAACTGTAATCATATAAATGTGTACAATTTCTTAAGACTTTTGTCTTGAAAGTATGCTAAAATATATTAATAGTTTAAAATATGTTATATTTACTTGATGATCTCCAGTGAGGCAATCAATTTCTACCTCTGAACATGCAACACCATATGTAAAATAATTAAATGGATTTCCGGTATTAGTTTCAAATGAATATCCTATATCAGGAGTTTTGTAAAATCCAGTAGCAGAAAGGCTTATTCTTTCCATATATGCTATTGTTATCCACTCTTCCCATGTTCCATTTGGTTTCTTATCTATCACTGGTTTTAATCGCTTCATAATTTCGTTACATGCATTCTAAAATTGTTATGTAATTAGAGATTGTAATTTAAGAAATTGAAATGTAAGTAACAACAAATTATAGAAACAGATTAATAGAAAATATAGATGAATATCATATTTTTAAATAAAGCAGAGTAAAACAAGCAGAAGGAAACTAAATAAAAAATAAACAAATCACTTTTACATACCATGACAGCCATACCATTTAGATCTGAACCAGCACTAGCTGCTGTTGCAGATGTATTTGGTACTTTGTCTGTGGATGTTTCCATTATATGTATTTTATCTGGCTTTATTTTTAAGGACCTGCTTGCTACCTAAATAGTAAATACAAAAAAGAAGGAACTATAGTATATGAAGATAAATACATACTACAATTTAATTATTTTATCGTGCATATAATAAACTAATTATATTATTCATAGCATTAATAAAGGCATGATAAAACATTGAACATAAAATGAATAAAATATAAATTCTAGATGTTGTGATACATCTCGCATTATGACATGATAATATGTTACATTAATAAAAAATATATGAGGAATGAGATCATTAATTTAAGCGATTTTAAAATACAAAAAAAAAAAATGTTACTTGTATCATTTTTGTATGTAAACCTTGTCCCATTTCAACACCTCCATGACTAATTAATACAGAACCATCCGTATAAACATGCACAAGTGCCCCTGCTTGATTCAAAAATATTACAGTAAAAGCAATACCGAATTTCGTTGGAACTATTGCCAACCCTCTTTTTTTGTACCTATTTTCCCTATGGGAATAGAGTCCATACATTACTTTACATACAAAAATCTTTAAGTATAAAACAATACTTTGGAAACCAATGCTTCTACTTACTTATTATACCTTTGAACTTGTACAAACCGTTCATTGTAATTTGAAGATACAATACATTCTTCCCAACATTGTTGTAATGTGCAATTAGTAAGTTTCTGATTATAATGAGTTGTATCTCCTTCTTTATATAAATTTAGCTCTGCAACCTATTGGGAGTAAGCTTTCACTGTTATCACAAATTTAATTTATTAATATCAAATTTTATTCTTATATGATACCAAATTATAATTATACCTTAATAGGATCTTTATTTAGATATTCTGCTATATGTCTTATCATTGTTTCACCTAAAAACATTCCTTGTGGACCTCCAAAACCACGGAATGCAGTATTTGATGGGATGTTAGTTTTACATATGAAACCATATACACGACAAGCTGATATTTTGTAAGCATTTTCAAAATGGAACATAGCACGTTCTATGACCTAAACAAATATATATGACTAGGATTTAACATTTCAAAAATGAAACAGTTCAGAAAGTAATAAAAAAATAATATACCGGGGAAGAAAGATCTTGAGAGTAACCCGCATTATTGTAAATATAGGCTTCGACCCCTTTGATCATACCAATATCGTTAAATCCAACTTTATATTTTAGCAAAAATGGGTGTCTTGTTCCAGTTACCATAATATCTTCGTCTCTATCAAACATGCAACGTACTGGTTTTCTTAATCTGTAAAAATAAATTATTAAATAGAAAAATTTTGTATTAATGTAATTTATATGTAACTTCGTTCTGTTATATTTTAAAGGCCATTATTTCATTGTACGTAAACATACTTACTTATACGCAGCAAAAGCAACTGGCAAAGCAAGTATTAAAGTACGAGATTCTTTCCCTCCAAAACCACCACCTAATCTTTTCGTTCTAACTACAATTTTATGAGAATGAATATTTAATACATGTGAAATGAGTTTCTGTATCTCCGACGGATGTTGTGTCGAACAGAATACTTCTAATTCATCTTCTTTTGGAACCGCTAAAGCTGCATTTGTTTCCAGATAAAAATGTTCTTGTCCTCCTGTTCGAGCTTCTCCCTCAAGAATATATTGTGATTCAGCAAAAGCCTTTTCTATGTCTCCATTTTTTATACACTTTGGTGTATCATTGAAAAACGAACGATATTTAATAGCGTCCTGCAATTTATGAAAATATAGAAAATTTATTCATAAAAAAATAAGAATTATTTTTAAATTATTATAACTTTTAAACATAAAACAATATATCATTTATCTTTCCATTTTTACTGTACCTCAATAGAAATGATTACTGGTTCTAAATTCTGGTACTCGACTTCAACCATTCTAGCTGCCTTTTGTGCAATACTTTGACTAATAGCTATGATTACTCCAATTACTTGACCATGACTAGTTACCTTACAAAGCAATATTTATTTTTTGACTTAGTGTACAATCTGGTAATTTAACTAATACATAACTTTAGTATATAAAATATCTATTTTAATATATTTTAAAATATATAAATATCTAAAGATTCATACCTTTTCTGACACAAAAATTTCTTCATCATGAAATATAGGACCAACAAAACGTTGCTTTTCGGGTATATCTTTCGAACTATAAAACGCAATTACACCTTCTAGTGATAATGCCTTAGTTTCATCAATTTTTAAAATTTTTGCATGTGCTCTGGTAGACAAAACCATAGCTAAATAAAGCTCCTCAGTGAACTTCGGCATATCATCACAATAAATTGCTTCTCCTGTTGCTTGTTTAAATGCACTAGCGTGAACAATTGTTCTGCCGACTAAATCGTTTATTTCTTGATCATTTGAAATCTAGTATATTAGATTACAAAAAATTAAATTGAAATATTAACAACCAAAAACGTATTATAGAATAATTTATGTATTAAAGTAAGTAATAACTACCACTTGATAATATTGAGAACATTTTGGTTCTTTAGTGTGAAATACTTCAGCTGCACTTTCAATTTCTTTTGACAAAGATATTTGACGTTTTTTAGCTATATGTAAAAAACCTTTAAAGAATAAGCTGTAAAATTTAAGAAAAGAAGTATTACATTAAAATAATTTCATTTTATTAAATTTTTTCAATAAAATTTTAATATATTATATTATATACCTTAGAGTTAACGATTTGCGATATTTGACCATTCCGCCTGGAACATTGTCTGGTAAAGGTAGCTCATTCAATAATGAATCATAAACAGTTTCTAGAAGATCATTGTCCCAATTTCTAAATCAATGTTATATTAATATCTTTTCCATAATATAATCAAAAAATAAATATTACATAATTTTATAAAACACCTTCCAATCATGATGTTGCAAGTTTTTGTAGCTAAAACCGTCGTTGGTGCCATGCCGCCAAAAGCTAAATACGCTTTATTAACAATGTTACTTTCTGGTTCAAAAAATACATTTAATGCCATATTAACAATAGCAATATCATCATCTCGTCTTCTTGCTTGCTTATAGGCAACAAAATATTGATCCTAGAAAATAAAAAAAGTAAAATATTCACAGACATATAATAATTCTATTTTATTATCTTCAACATTTTATTTACTTTTTCAGAGAATGGTATTTGAATTGAAAGCAAAACCTCTTCCGGTAAAACGACATTTTGTCGATAACCCTTAAAGAAGGTATGATCCATTGGAATAAGTCTATTTCCATTTTTTAAGCTTGAAACATTTAATTTTATTTGAGCAGCCATAAAAATTGGATTTAAATCTGATATGGGACTTCCAGTCATTATATTTCCACCAACAGCCTATTAAAAAATAAAAATTATTCTTAGTTTAAAAATTGCATTCAATATTTTGCATTACAACAGATTAAATAACTTACAGCAACATTTCTGATTTGTTTGCCAGCAAACCAATGAAGCATATTAACTATTTCACTAAAAATTCTTGTTTGATATTCTATAATAGTAATGAAATATTATGAATATATATGGAGTTACTAATTTGTACAACGTGGAATCTAAGAGATATAAAATATTTACCAGGTTTTAAAGTAATTTGATTTCTTAAAGATTTTTCCATTTCAACAAGTGTAACACTAGCACCCACATTCATTGCTTTTGAATATTCATCAATACTATGCATTTCTTTGATTAATGTAGGCTGTATAAGTACTGGATATAATAGGCATTTGAATTTAACTTCAACGCCTAAAAATGTACATAAGATATTTACTATCTATACTTATAATTATCCTTATGATTGAGATGTTTAAATTACTAAATAAATTTTACCTATCTCGGTATTTCCTACGACAATTTTTGCATTTGGATGCTGGCTTTTTAAACACAATAATTCAGTAAGTGTTTTTGGTCTATGCCAAGTAACACTTTTCCCTTTTATTATTAGGTATTCTTCATCTAAATACGGAGACATCTAAAAAAATGTTTATTTCATTTACTGAAACGAAATGTTATAACAATAACTAGATTTATTTAAAAAAATATTTGATTAATACATCTAAATTCAAAATTAGACAAAAAGTTATGTATTAGTAAAAAAAAAAATATACGTATAACTTGGGCGGAAATATAATTTCCTGAGAAGGATCATATGGACGGAATTCTCTTGAATCAAAAACTTCTGAGGGTTCTGCTATTGGTATTCTTTTACAGCAGTTTTCTCCCATCGGACATTCTGCATTCGTCGGAGATCTCTCTTTATCCTTTGACATTAATTGCATTATTTCCCATTCTTCCGTGAAAGTTTTATAAGCTTCTATTATAGGTCGGTAACCCGTGCATCTACATAAATTTCCTACAAATAAATCATCAATCAACATAATACAAATTTTTAATAACAAAAATAAATTTTTAAATAATTCAAAGCATTGAAAAAATCTGAGAATACTTTAAAAAATGTTATTTCTTTTTCTAAATTCTATCTGTACTTTACTGCATATGGCTATAATTAGGAAATTGAAAATAAACAAACACTTCAAGACGATTATATAAAATGAAAAAAAATGTTTCATTTTGTTAAAAAACATAATTGCCTATTGCAAACAATTTACAAATACAGAATATATTGGTATAATAATCAATATGTATCTATTTCAAATATACATTTTCGATAAAATTTTAATCGTCAGTTATAATAATATTTCTAAAAATATATTTTATTATTATAATGCAGAATTTGAATATAATACTTTTTTATCTAATATATATTTAAAATTTATAACAAATCGAATTTCGAAATACTACCTTTCTCTTTGAAAAATACAAATCATGTTTACTTATGTGATTATCATTTAAGCAAAAGAGTACTTATATTGTTTGTAACAATTATTTTATGTACAGTAATATGTTCATTTCATAAATTTAATTTATATTTTATGAAATTTGATTTTACCATTGCTAATTCAGTTTCTTCATCAATTTTATTTTTATTTTTTAGAATTATTTGTGAACTTCAGCCACAAATCCTTCCATTTTGCGATGATTCAACGCATCCGAGTTAATTAATTTAATAATTCTGTAAAGGCGTAAATTGAGCAGTAACAAAAAGGACAGTACAAAAATAGCATTTTTATTAACTAAAATTAGTATTAGTAGTAGTAATGATGCACACACGGATTAAACAAAACTTAATAAACATTAAAATTCGTAAAAGAATTAATATCAACAACTTCCTGATTATCGCCAATGAAAATAACTAAAAATACCTCATAGATTTTTTTTTTATTAATTAATTTATTAATTAACTTTAGTCATTTTTTAGAGTATTTTTTAGCTTAATTGTACATGTAATATACGATTGAAGGATACAATATCTTACAAACAAAAAATTATAATCGACATGTTGTATAAACATTTATAGTATATATAACAGTGATCATAGCTTTACCTTGAAATGCAATTTCAAGATCCTTCATGCTCGGTTTTGGCGTTGTTCGTAGCAACGCGTACATAGACATCACAATTCCAGGTGTACAAAAACCACATTGTGATCCATGAGCTTTTGCTATACGCTCTTGCACTGGATGAAGTTTCGTTTTAACGCTACCAATACCTTCCACAGTGATAACTGCTAAACCGTGCATGGCACAAACCGGTGTCAAACACGCATTTACCGCTAAATGTCTGATTAATTGCATGTAATTCATTAATCAAAGAAAATTATTTTACCATCATTTTCATTCAGAAATATTGAAAAGGATACGTAATAGCTCCTGTTACACGATCTAATTTTGAGATCATCACAGTGCACGCTCCACAACCACCTTCCGCACAGCCCAGTTTCGTGCCAGTTAAGTGTACTAAATTATTTTAGTTAAGAAACTACATTTAAAAATATGTTCATTTGCGTTTGTAAATTTCGGAATAATTTCTGAGTCTACTGAAGCTTCTAATTTTATTACACTATTCGACTACTGTTTTATATATTTAGTAAATTTTGTTAATATTATTTTATATCCGGTAAATCAATTTTTATCAATTATTAATTATCTAGAAAACGAAATACAATTTCAACGAAATTTAATTTTAGAAGAAAATATTTATTCTCGTATTTACCTCAACTATAATCGCAAAAATTATTTTAATTATTTTAATTATTTTGTATGAAATGAAACTCATCAATATATTAGTAAATGGTAAATATATATAAAAAGAAATTACAATAATTTTGATAGGCCTCGTAAAAGATTATTTACCTTTAATAATATATAAGCACTATATACGGAAGACTATACATGAGCACTATTTAAACTATATAAAGGACGTAATTTTAATTATCGTAATAATAAATAATATTCCGTAAAAATGGTTTTCAAAGAATGGGAATTTATTATTAATCATTTAGAATATTTAATATAATCACATTTGTTAAATTTTTTAAATAAAAAAAGGATACACTTATTCCTCAAATACCATAGTAATGTCCATTCTGGATCGACGTTATCGTCTACTACCTGCAATATCGTATGAATATTTTTTAAATAGAAATGTAAATAACTCGCATTTTGTTTTAAATCTTTTTCCTTAAAAAATTATGATAATGCAAAATTTTAGAGAATATTAAAAATAATTTTAAACTAAATAACTTTATATACATACAAATATTTACAATCTTTAAATAAAATTTTTTGTTAAAGTAATTGTCTAAACAATTTCTTGAGAATTTATTTTGAATAATAACTATGAAAACATAAACTTTAATTTCTAGGTGAAAAATATAGTGTTAATAGAAATATTTAATGCTTATAAAAATTCAATAAGTAATAGAGAGGTATAATACAAAATTTTGTTTTATTTTAAGTAATTAACTTTGAAAAATTATTAGTAAATAACTTAAATATTTGTTCTCTACATAAATAGATATAAATTATATTTTGTCAAAACAATGTTTAATGTACATGTAATTATACTCTCTGCAATTTATTTAAGTGTAACGTCTAACAAACAATTTGTTAATCTTAGTACAAAATATTTTATAAATTATTCTTAAAACATGAAGTAATATATTGCAGTTATAGTTAGAATATATTCTATAGGTACAAGTATATTATAAATTTGAATATTCAAAATACTGTATGCAATATATACATACCTCCTTGCCATTAACATAAAATACTAAGGTATGTGATACTTTGTCATATCCGTTATTATTTGACATGACAGGTTCAAATTGAACAATGCTTCCTCCATCCTGAACCATTTTTGTTGACTACAGATCTTAATAAAACCTATGAAAAATATTTCTAAAATTATCTACTTAATACAGTAACATTATTAATACTTCTTTGTTACAAAAAATTAAATTATATTTAGATTTATAATATATATACTTAAATAGATATTTTGATATCTATAGCATTGGAAGCAAATATGTAATATAATACTTTTGCAATACGTATTGCTTAAGTGAATAAGCAATGATAAGAATGACCTATGTCTCCCACAAAGCCTCCAACAAACAACAATAAAGAGGAAAACAATACAAAAATTGATAGCATAATATATTGTAAGAAGTGCATGAAAGAATTTACAATATATAATGAAGAATCACATAACTTGTTTACGAGTTATATACTTTGACTTGCTTTATTTATTATTGTTATTATTTAAAATATAATAATCACATATTTATTAAATGGTATTTATCAATATAATGAATAATTATTAACAATAAAATAATAATCGAATCAAAATACACTAGAGAAAACTTAAAAATTAAAAGTGTTTGTTTCAGTTTTAATACAATAATAAAATAATTGTAGTATGTAATTTAATTTGTTATAACACAGGGTAATATTATTAAATTACTCTATGAAATAAATATAAACTTAATGTTATGAAAAGCGTTTATAATAGTGCTTACCTTTTTCAAATTAAAATTTTAGTTCGTTTAGAAACACTGGTACAGAACGTTCGACAATTGAGCACTAGATTATCAAGATACATTTCCAATGTTCATTTATTAACACGTATATTAACCGAGTGAAGCAATATCTCTCCCACTATATTCTTTGTATACATTGAAGTTCTTACATTTAGTAAAGTGGGGGAAACGCTTATCTAATCAAATAAACTTGTTACTTTATTTTAAATTATATTACAAAGTGGACAAAAAAATTGAATCTCAAAGTTATAATTATATAAAAAAATATTGGTAAAATTTGTATAAAATAAAGGAATACTATTCATTTCATAACCTAATTTTCATTAATACAATATAAATAAGTTAAAACATCAAATACAAATCTGAAGCTATATTACTTAAATAAATACACGAAATTAAACAAAAATTCTTAGAATATTTGAAACATCTGAAATCATCTAAAACATATGCGATGACTAATTGTCTCTCTTGAAATATGAAACATTGATTATATTGTTACTTTTTATGTTATCATGATCATCATGATTGATTTGATAAGTATTTAAAAAATATCTTTTTACGAAAATTTCAGTAAAACGTATTGAATCTTTGAGTTACATAATTCAAACGTAACATAATGTTGTGAAATTGATACTTATGTGATTACTATAGAATATGTTGTGACTGATTCTCATTAATTCTTATAAATTTTATGATGAAACGTTGACCGGATTACCCGATTTGCTTCGATATAGGAGTCGCTATATTTCCTAATCAAGAGTGATAAACGAATATCGATATCGATACGGATTTCAACGTAACATCGATACTAAATATTTAGTTTTAGAGATTATTGGATAATCCAAATAATATAAATAAATTCTAGTGTTGCAAGCAGTTTTCTGCACTAATTGCATTTTTCATCAATGTATCCCCTTTTTCAAACTTTTGGCGAATTTTATTCAATCCTTTTAATTAATTGTCTCTTTGTCTATTTCCTTTTCATCTGTAATGTTTTATTTCTGATAAATGATATAGCCTTTATTATTAATATTAATAATAATATTATAACATACTACAGTGGAAACCGCTTAAAATTGTATAACACGGTAGGCTATTGAGTGATTTTATTAAAAATTTTTTTATCATGAGTCATATTACGAGTTTTTAAGAGTTTTTTCAAATACGTATCAATCAATCGATAATGATATTTATATACAATACACTAACCTGATTTACTTTTTGTTTATATTATTTATATATCTATTTATGTATTCTTTATTTATTTTTAACATTGATATAAATGTGGTTTAATTAAAAAATATAAACGATAGAATTCATTACTAATAATAAATTAGTTATTAACAATTTTTAAATACACAAATACATACAAATTTTGAACATTATTATATGATAACCACAATAGGAATAATAAAAATGTATACATGTATATGTTTAAAACAAAAAATATATGTATATTTGAATTAAATTCAGAATTATATCAAAATTATAGATTGTGTTTCGATCAATTTTGTCTGATTCAACTTATTATTATAATTTTCACAAAATTTAATGTTTGTATTATATTTGAATAAATAAATTAGTTTATCAGTTTCATAAAAGGTGGTGCTACAATCGCAGGTATTGATTTTCTACTGAATGGCATATCTACGTTTATTCTTAAATCATGCAATCAGCTAACTTTCACATTGATCGGAAATTATACTTCATAACCTGATAGCAATTTTTTATATCCGTTGCATTTATAGAAAATGACGTTTCTTAACGAAAATAACAGTGTTTTAGTGATCTTAGATAACGAAATTTCATGTGATGATATTATAAATTTTACCAGTGTAATTAAAAAACAGCTTAATGATGCAGAACGATTAACAATTGTATCGGTGAATGAATTGAAAGAATGTACGTAAATTTGTATAAATTAGATTTATAGGTATATGTATATATCTACCTGTTTTAATTGTTTCTGGAAAGTGTATTTTCATTATGCATTTCATACATTAATTTTATACAAGTAACGTATTTTATCATCATATAAATTTACTGTTTTCTTTTGTAGGTATAAATTCCTCATATGATGTAATCATTCCTATCTTTAAACAATTGTGTCCAAATCTTAAAATACTTTTAGAAGAATGTTTACGAATTTTGAAACCAAAAGGTCTACTGATTATTTTTGAATCACTTAAACAAGAAGAAAATGCATATTCTATTTGTAATGAAAGACTGTCTAACTTAAAATTAGCTGGTTTTAAAGTAAAAATGCAAGAAAGTTTAGATACAAAACAGTTGAAAGATCTTCTTCTTAGTGTATACAATGATATAGATAGTGTTTGTGAAACAGTGGCAGAGAAACCTTCTTTCGAAGTAAGATATATTCTTGTATATTACATTAATTAACTATTTTAGGGCAAAGTATAATTTCTGATACTTTTCTATGTGGTCTACAATTTGCATAATGTAACTTTTCCAGGATAAATCAGGATTAAATTAAATTTTTGTATATTTTTCTAATATATCTATATTTACAAAATTAATTAACGTTATTTTTAGTTAATATAATGTTATAAATTCTGAAACATTGTATTGAATACCATGAGAGTCTATATGATGCATAGTTATCCTCATAAAATTAATATAATTTTAATGAAGTATAGATTTCATACTAATGTATTCCTGATTTATATAGATTGGTTCCAGTGTACCACTTAATTTTGGACAAAAGGAATCCTCCAATATATGGAAGCTGGATAGTGCTCTTGATGAAGAATTAATTAATGAAGATGATCTTTTGGATGAAAATGATATTGTTAAGCCTATAACTGAGAGTTTAAGGGGTAAGATAAAAATATAATTTCTAAGTCAAAGACTTCAATTATAATTTCAGTGATAATACATATTTTAATGGTAAAGATAGTGATTTTATTATGTTTTAATCTTCAAACATATTTGAGTCTCATTGAACATTGTTTTAATCCATTTTTCTGAAAAATACTCAAAAATAAGAAGAATTATTGATGTAAAAGAGAGGAAAATACTAATTTTTATTTTTTGTTTTAGTATGTAGCACAACAGGTAAACGAAAAGCTTGTAAAGATTGTACTTGTGGCTTAGCTGAGGAATTAAATGGAAAGATTCTACCAGAAGGAACTGTAAAGTCATCATGTGGGAATGTAAATAATTTATACATTCTTTTTGTCTGAAAAAATTCAAATATATACTAATATGTTAATTCTTTTATAGTGTTATCTTGGAGATGCATTTCGTTGTGCTAGTTGTCCATATCTTGGTATGCCAGCTTTTAAACCTGGTGAAAAAGTCCTTTTATCAGAAAATCAGTTAAAAGCAGACTAATGAAATAATTTGTGAGTTATACATATATACTATTTCCATGTTCATTTCTTGCATGTAATAATTTTAATAATAATTTTTAATATAGTTAATTTATTGTCTTTCACCTATTTCTGTTTAACACAAAGGGGTTTTTATTTCTATTTATCTTTACTATAACTGCAAAAATAGTATAGTGTATATAGAAAATCTTAACATGATGTAGCTAAAAAGTTATGCAATAAAAATATAAAATATATGTACTAGTGCCTAATTATTTTTATTACATTTTTATTTGTATACAATAGCGATCAACATGTTAATCATAATAGAATGATACAAAATGAAGGTTTCTGTATTTATAAGTAATATTTATAAAATATATTTCATCATAAAAACAAAATAATTTAAGTACCACATGATTATAATACAAAACGACAAGTGATATATCAACGAAATTATTTGTATTGTTAAAACAACGAAATACTTTTACTATATAATTACCGATATCAATTCTATTAAGTCAATTATACAATATTACTAATATTAAATGAAAACACAAAAATGATAAAAAATAAATTTTTCACTTAGAAAGTATCTACAAACAATTTACGAGGGAATGTAAGCCTTTCACTATAAATCCACTAGCCCTTCTCTGGGAATGAGTGTTCGAGAAAGGACTACATTCCAAATATAATATTTTATGTATATGCATGACTTGTATCATTCTATTTGAACATATTTTAAAATTTTACAAATAATACAAATATTTCATATAAAATTGATTACTAAGTTCTTCAAAAAATGATCGCGCCGTTTCTAAGGACGATGGTTTTTAAATTATAGTAGCATCGTGTACAGGAACAAAATTAATCATCATGTTCTTAATTTGCCTCTATGGCAACAGGAACATTATTCCGCAGCATAAAAAATAGAAGTTCATATCGCGAACCAAAAATAATGAATGTTACTTGAATTATGCATTCATATTTTATGAAATAATTAATCTTTTACACCATAGTAATAAATGGTATTTTGCGTCCATAACCAAGTTTATGTTCATAATAGTAAATAGCTGCGCTACGCCTTTGCACCGTAAAACCTACTGTCATGCTACAGTTAATCTTCTTGTTTTATCTACTTATTTAATATAACTTCATTTGGTGCTGAAAAGGCATATTATTACTATCATTTTTATCATACATATGAAATTCCATAAAGTTATCTATAAATCATTAATGTTATATCAAGATAATAATTTTTAGAAATTATACTATTATACTTAATGTTGATAATGTCACACAGAACTTTGGTATAAATTTAAAGTTTAAATAGCTTTACACTGTAAAAAGTTAGCTACCGTTTGCAGTGAACAATCATATAGTTTATAAGTACAAAGAGGGCTATAGAAAGTACAATTTGATATTTAGTTATTGGAAGCAATAAGACGGAAAATATGACATGACAGTTTCAATCAGATCTCTCCATTACTTTATCATATTTCGTATAAATTACTTTTACTTAAATGTATAACTGTTTGTACTCTATTTCCAAAATCAAAAGATTGCATAGAATCTTTCAGTCTGTAAACGAATTTTAACACGTTTGTTGTACTTTCTATCAATATAAATGTCCACAATTTACATTAATATTTATTTATATTCGACAATGTAAATAATTAATTTATAAAAATGGATTATCATCTTCTTTTCTTCAAAGAAACATATGCGCATACTTGCACAAATGTCGAAAATAGCGTTATACAATTTTTATACTAACAACTGCAATCGCCCGAGAAACAAAATTACTCATACTTATTTTGGACTGAAGATTAACTTTTTAAACCATTTGAATTACATTTTTATATTTCTTAAAATGTATGGAACAGTTAAGAAAGTCATTTGGTATTTAATATTGTTTTTCCTAAAATCTAGTATTCTCTTTTTTGGTAAAACAATATATAAATACATAAAATTTTATCTATAAACATTCTTCTTTGATTATGAATACATGCGAAAACAAACATAAGTGAATTAAGAAAATGATTGATTTAATAATTTAATGCTTAAAAGTTATACTCATGATGATTTGGATTAAAAATATTTGTTTTCTCATAAACATAATGCAATCCATTATAATAATTTTGTAATCTAAAATTTCCTTTAGTATTGTACTCAGTGATACATTGAGCAATTATTAAGCCTATTAATTAAGGCATGTTTCATGTACCCTTCAGTTGCACTCAGATTCAATGCATGGTGCTACTTTTTTTAAAACATATTTTGTTGTTATTGAAACAGCTTTAAAAAATATATAGAAATGAACGAGGAATAAATGAGAGAACTAGGAAATATCAAACAGAGTATTATATATAATTTCTATAAATTTTATGTATATATATATATATATATATATATATATATATCTCTGTTATTTATATACCCAGACATATAAAAAATGCCATGGAACTTAAGATTTCCTGTTCTCTTATGAAAAATATATAATTGCCATATCTCTAAAAAAGATTGATAACCCTTTAACAACTAGATGAAATAATCTTTATATGAACACAGCCCTACAGATTATATGACATAATAAAAATTAAGAGTCCTCGAAAAGACCTTTGGCTTTTTTTTTTTTTTGACTGTATCATCGTTACGGTATTGCCGTACATCTCGTAAGCATCGTTATTAAACATAACAATAATACTACAGCATTTTGCGGTATGTACAGACGTGCAGTTCCGCGAAGCTAAACTTTTCACGGGATTTCCGTCAAGTCCACAAAATCTTCGCCAATTGACACGTCGAAATATTAGTTTATGCTACCATGAATTTTCTTCCATATTATCGAGCAAAGAGTTCTTCTCCTCTTTCTTAGAACCATTTGTTCCCTGCGCCGAGGCACGTAATTTTGGTTCGAAACATGGCTGTAAAAGATAAAAATTTAAGTAATACAGTCTGATTAATTTTACTTCAAAATTCTGACGATGCAACCATGATGAAAATGATAATCTTCAGAAAACTATAAGAAATAAAATATTTGGTTTAAAAAGAAAACGATATAACTAATGTTAAAAATTACTGAATACAACTGATTTTTTTTTTTAAATTGTCTTCAAAATGAATAAAATTTTTATTCAAGTATTCATCTATATATGAATAAGTTATTTGTAATGGTTTATGTCCTTTCGCTAGCATATTCAAAAACAGTGCTACCGCCAAAATTACCGCCAGAAGAGCATAGTATGAGCTTTACAATAATATTTGATATTAACATTGTTTTACGAACGTTTTGGAGACAGTTTAATGAGTGTGTATATATATATATAATTACAAGAATTACAAGAATAAATAAGATGGAGTATGAAAACGGTGTTCTGATAGCAATGTTTTAATAATGGCACTGTCTTTGACTATACTAATAAGAGAACCACCCTGAATAATACATTATAAGTTACATTTATGAAAAATATAGATATTGATATTTAACACGTTAATATTTCCATACTAAACTATTAACAGTTTTTTCCTTAGAACATTACTCTACAGAAAGGTTACTATTAATTCTGAATAACTGTTTTATATTCGAAATTTTTTTTATTTGTTCAAAATTTAAAATTTTGGTAGTACAAGTTGTTTCAAACTCATAATCATTAAATTCTTGAAAGTTTACTTCATATTGCAGCACCTACGTACAATGGAGTATCATATGCAGATCAGAAATTTTAAAAATGAACCTCTTTTAAGTACCCACGAATTTGATCAAATGCGTATATCATATAACAATTTATATGAATTCATGCACAGCAGCATATTAACCAGGACATAAGCAAAAAAATATTACAATTAAATGGCCAACCTTTTTATTAAAGTAGCATTAAAGTTAGTAAAAAATAAATATGTAAATGTTTTTAATTATTTAAATATTAAATATCCCAAATATAATTAAGCTTCCTTAATAATAATTAAGTAACAAGCATTGTCAATTTAAAAAATTAGAGAGCAGCAATGTTACGATTTTTTGCTCTTATTGTAAACTTTAACTGTATTTTACAGGGAAAAAGGAACAATACTTAGTTGAGATTCATGTTTCACTTTTTATCTCTAAATCTTTAACTGTTTCTATTTCCCTGAATATATATCTGACTGCAGTATATATCTTACAACTTTAATTCATTGCACGTGTCACAAGTTCATATCTAGCATGCACGCAAATATTTTTTATATTTTAGCTGGTAGATCACTCACAGTTTCACAGATATTCATGTTGCAGCAGTTCTCTATGGTTATTTCACACTGACTATCTGGCAGCTGTGGCCGAGACGTAAGCGGTGTCACACCGCCTTTACTGACAACGAAACGTTTTTTGATGCGTGGCCGCTTTCGAAATTTATTTACATAATAACTAAGTACAATTATCACGAGGATAAGTACAGCAACGAACACACCTAAAATTGGTAGCAGTGTCCTGTATTCGTCGTTTTTTGTAATTGTGACTATTTGTGCAACTCTTTCATTTTCTTCAGCGCACCTATTGACAGAAAATAACAAAGACTTATTGTGAACTGTATATTTTTCAAAATTTAATTGTAAACGTATCAAAGTGGTCAGATATAATTTTATATTTACATTAACCCTTGAATGACACGATAGTTTTATTTCTTAACATACTACGTAAGCGAGAGTAATAGCATATTAATCACTACAATACTCAACATAATATTTCAGAAAAACAGCATATTTCGCTAGTTAGGCGAATTATTAACAAGTTTTATTAAATGTGTAAAAATAAAACTTGAAAAATATTCGACTAAAGTCAAAACAAGTGAAATTCCGAATTTTTTAAAATTCTTATGAAATTACGAAGTTAGGAATTTGTCAAAGGTGATATACCTGCAGTTAGCAGTAGCGACGCTAGTAGGAACTGATTCAGTGTTTGCACAAAATACTTCACAGAGTTTAGTAATATTGCTTAAAATTTCGCAACGAGATCCTTCGAAATATTTACATTTACAAACTGGTTTCTCATTCTGGACGGAACACTGACCGTTATGCAAGCAATAATCTTTGCACAGGTCTATTTCGCATCTTGGTCCAATAAATGTGTCATTGCACTTACACGTGGGTAACCCATTACTGTTTATTCTACAGCTGCCTCGGAAGCAATAATTATGACAAAGATCCGTCTCGCAATACGTTCCAGTGAACCTGAAATAATTAAATTCATATTTGAGCTGTGATTTCTCTAAATCATAATCACCAAAATTTAATTCATATATAGTTATACGCTTACCCAAGTCTGCACTGGCAAGTGCCTTCCTGATCATCCATAAAACCATCATTTAGGCAGTACTTGGACGGTTCGGTGGTCAATTCCGATTCCTCCGTGCTGGTTGTCAAATTATTATACGGTTTTACTATTTGAGCGAACGTTATGTTCGCCAAGCTGGTTTTCTGTCTTACTTTCGCAATTGCCGCGCAATCTACTTTGCCGACATTATCACGTGTTACGATTCCAGTTGGATCGGTATCTTGACTCAAATGGTACGAGCGAAACATGATTGGTATATTGTCAGATTTCTCGTTTTTCGGTATCATCCAAACAGCTTTGTGAACCAAATCGGACCAATATATCGAATCACGATCTATTGCTAGGTGAACTGGTTCATGTCGTTTAGGGTGTATCAATAGTTCACGATCAGTACCATCGAGATTGCTACGCTCGATCTTCATTCGTATACCTTCAACATCGTCGATCCAATAAAGCTTTTCGTTGACATGATCTATAGTCACAGCCAGCGGTTCATATAAATTGTCTTTGATCACGGTCATTCGATTACTTCCGTCTAGATTTGACCGCTCGATACTTGGATTTGTATCATTACTATTTACCCAGTATATGTGACTGGAAACAATGTACAATTATCAGACACTCGCGTTTTTTTATTTTTTACGTCGCGTATATTTTCTCCCCCATTTTTTCTCTCTTTTTAAATCTCGTTATTCGTCTCAAGAAGATATTTTTTGTTTTACTCGACGCGAATTTCTAAATGGAACTAGGTCGGTTGAGATTGCCCATCGTGAATGGCCATGACAACGTTCTACGTAGGACATAAATGGCACACCTGTTACATGTGTCCAGAGCTATGCCGCGTGGACTCAGATTCGTCAAATTGTGAAGCAGTATTGGTTTCTCTGGTGGCCCATCTAGTGGTACGCGCATCTTCATAATCACCCTTTCCAAAGCGTCACTCCAGAACAGGGTTCGCGTCTTTACGTCGAAGGCAAGTCCTACAATGTAACTCTTGCCTTGTCCTGGAAAGAATTGAAGTACCATTTACAAATAAATCGATTCTTTTGACAGATAAGATTTACGTAATAATAGTGTTAAATTTATTATTTTTCTACTCCCATTTTAACATTATTTCATTACTGTTTAATTAAAAATTTGTTTAACTTCCTTTCTCCTCGTCATTTTTTATTTTTCAATCATATACAGTCTATCCCTTTCTTTCTTTATTTAGTGAAGCAATATAGTTTCTTTAGAGAATGGAAATTTAAATTAATTATTCACTTTTATGTAGTAAATAAACATTGGCACATAAATAAATATTTTCATAGCAAATAAAAATTTTTAAACCTTGTTTCTCAATTGAAACGTTCAAAAATTTTAGTTACATAAATCTGATATTTAAAAATAATAAGAAATTGAAGATCTTAAACTTTAAAAATATTTCACACCATTTCCAATAATATATAACTTCTTAAAATCGTTTCGATTTAACATATATTATCAAATTTTCGTTTGGTCTTTATCATCCGTGAAATTTTATTGATGGCACTATCGACGTATCCAACAGATAGATTTCTCTCGGTTTTTGTGCAAAATGGTAAACTTTTACATTTTAGGATGGTCCATTAAGAACGTTCGTAACAAATCGAGGGGTGAAAACTTCAATGGTGTCGTGGTTGATTCCAAGTGCTTTACAGATGCGTATCTTTGGAGAAAATGTACCATTAATTTGGAAAAACAGTTCAATTCGATTATGGAATACTATCAACTGTTAAGTGATTATTAAAAATGTTAAAATATTAAAATAAAATGGATACATTTTATTCATTCATTTATTACACTGTGAATAATGATTGTAGACAATTGGTCTGAAATATAGATTATAATAATCGTGAAATACATAAAAAGAATTACTAACATAAATTCCCAATATCAGAATTTCATATGCTATTGAAGATAATCAATATTGTCCACAATAATAGCATTGAATAGCAGATAATTAGATTAATAGAAAGAACCAATGAAAAGTATTTTTCCTTGTATTTTATCAGGTCAAAGGTCAAATTAAATTTCCATTTTATAAAAGATAATTATGTCGAATAAATCCTGTTTTTCATCGAGTTTCGTTGATATAAAAAAATACAAGGAATTCTTTATTCATGTAACTGATAGTTATTTAGATCAAACTGCACAAGGCACTTGGAAGATAAGCATTATATTTCTTCATTAATATCTTCCATGATAATTCAAAATTTTTCAGAATGAATCTGTTCTTCTGTTCTAATAAAACAGAATTTTTCTTATTTTAATATTCAATACATTTTTAATTGTAATATATATATAATAATTAATCAATTATAACAATAATTAATTAATTAATATATTATCATTAACAGAATTAATTATAATATATAAAATAAAATAAAGTGACGATACTGAACTGCTGATATAGTAAATAAAAATGACGCAATTGAAGTTTTTTATTTGAATAGAATAATAGTTGGACTCGGTGAAAACATAGTTGCATAGAAGTTAATTTTAATACGAATATTCATATCACGAATTTAAAAAACAAACGTATATGGAAATCATTCGTCACACTACACATAAAATTCGGTTGGTAAAGAGAGTCGGTGACAGTTTGTGTGCTATTATATAACCGCTCGAGGGGAGAGACGAGGGACCTTGATTTTTTGGGTAATAGGTCAGTGAGTTTGTTGTCCTGAGGTATTTGACTCAGGTAATGGCCTTTTGATAAACAGCTGATTCGTCGCTGATTTTGCTGCTACACGTATCTACTATTCGAATTTTCCAGGTAAAACGATACTTAAAATTTGTGTATTTCTCCAACAGAAATAAAATTTCTATTTTCTCCTTTTTTTTTTTCATTTTTGAATCTTCATTGAATCCATTTTGAAGAATGTGGAGTAAAACTTTCTTAATTTCATCTCTCGATATACATTCTATAGATTTTATTATATATATTTTATAAATAT